TCCACGTGGTCTGTTGGGCTTAAAAAAAAAAAAAAAGTTTCTGAGCTCTATTTCTTCACACGAAGGTTTGTTGTTTTGTCTCTTTTTGGAGGCCGCAGTCACACCTCTGTAGTGCATAAAGTTTTTTTTTTTTTTTTTTTTTTTTTTTTTTTCCAGGTCCAATAAAAGGAAGCTCCAAGCGCCATCAGCCTCCACGATGAGCCAAATGTTTTTTTCTGGGGTGGTCATCGTTGCATTTTTTTGATACCCTCTAGTTTTTTTCTCCAGTTAGGATTGCGTTTTATTGCAGAGAGCATTTGTACAAGATTGCAGCAGGGCAAAAGCAATCCAAAAGTCAATCCCACAAGCAGTTAACAGGGACAGTTACAGGGACCACCACTTTTCAGCCCCAGGTTAACGTTGCGTAAGGCACACACACACACCCACACACACAAAAAAAAATAAAAAATAATAATAATATATTATTATTATTAGGCTACCAGAGTGGCCCGGGGCCAGTTGCCCGGCCGGGCGAAAAAAAAAAAAACAAATAAACAAATAAAAATTATCTTTAACTTTATTTTTTATTTTAAATTTGGTAAAGAATTTCGATGCGACCCTGAGGCAAAAGTTGTTCAGTTTATTTTTCTGCATAACATAGTTTGTTTTGGGATTTTTGTGATTTTTTTTTTTATTTTTTTTTTGGCTAGGACCTTCCCTGGACCTTGCACGGCCGGGCCGTCCGGGAAAATAGGGTGACCCGGGCGGCCCGGCTGGTAGCCTATTAAAAAGCCGCTTCTCAATTTATTACATGTAACTTACAACGTTAAAGCCTATAGTTGATACCGGCGAGATCCAACTGGTTTGCTTGATGTACCTATTGGAAGTCAGAGGACCCATAGTACCACACACACACACACACACACACACACAGAGAGAGAGAGAGAGAGAGAGAGAGAGAGAGAGAGAGAGAGAGAGAGAGAGAGAGAGAGAGCAGAAGAAAAAGAGAGATATTTCACATAAGCCCTGAAGAGAGTCTCACATGATGGCAAATGCAGCTCTCCCCTCTCTGACTCTGTTTTCAGGATGCGATCCAGAGAAAGTGACCTGCTGGAGCAACTCTGTGTGATGGATTTCTGTTTCCTTTTTTCGTGATGGATGGCTGAGTCTCACATCCAAGGAACCTCTTCTCTCTGTTCTGGCCTCGGGACAGATGATCCGATTCAAAGAAAGTTCTCTGCTTGATCGACTCCAGCAACTCTGTGTTTTTTTAACTTTTTTTTGTTTTCTTTGTGCTGGATAATTACTGCAGACACAGAAGAACAAGGACCGACATACCTTTCTCGGCCTTTTGGCTAAGATCAAGTGTAGTATCTGTTCTGATCAGTTTAAACCACCAGTACTTGGGCGACGCCTTAGCGTTAACGCTACGAGAATTTCGCTACCGGCGGGCCGTCGATAAATCGTATCGACAGCCCGTGCCGCTTCAAAAAAGATGCGGCCGGCGCAGCGCGCAGTGCCCAAGTACTGGTGGTTTAATATCTGATCTGTGGTCCATTGGGCCTCAATAATAAAAAAAAAAAAAAAAAAAAAGGACTGACGCAGTGTTCTGCTCAATGGAACATCCTCAGCCCTTCGGCAAAACGGAGTTGTGTTGCCAAGTGAGAAAGAAAGATGTGAATGATGTTCAGTGAAGCCTCTGGGGATCATTTTCCTGGAGAAGAGCAGGCAACTGATCAGTGCGCCTTATCATGGTTATGGTTCTATGCACAGCACATCGAGGAGTCCTCAATGGCAGACATAAATATGTGACCAATTGAACAAAAAAAAATATGTGACCAATTGAACAAAAAAAACTGTTAGAACGACGATCTGCTGCAAACATAAATATAAGAGCAACACACGACAGAGTGCCAAATGTCTACATTGGGGCTGGGGTGGGGGGTTTGTTGGGGGGGGGGGGGGAAGAGGAGGGGGGATCAGGGGGGAAAGGAGGTTGTCCTGGGAAATAAAATAATTTGATTGTGGTCAAACTGCATTGCAGGGGAAGAGAATGTGCACCATGATCTCCAAAGAAAACACTCCAGGGAAGAGACTATTATGTCTACCTCCTTCCATTAAAAAAAGGCTGCAGGGCAGAGACTCTTCTTCCTCCTTTCTAAGCATCATAAGGTGGATTTCCATGCGAAGTTAAGGGGCCCGGTGTGTGTGTGTGTGTGTGTGTGTGTGTGTGTGTGTGTGTGTGTGTGTGTGTGCGTGTGTGTGTGTGTGTGTGGGTGTGTGCGTGCGTGCGTGCGTGCGTGCGTGCGTGCGTGCGTGCGTGCGTGTGTGTGTGTGTGTGTGTTTTGAGTATTCACTACAACAGCCCCTATTCCACCCCGATGAACAGATCCAAAATCAAAGCATATTTAAGTCTATTACAGACAACGAAAGCCCTTGAGTTGAGACAACCGAACAATGAAACAGTTTCACCTCAATAGCAAGCAACATGAAGTACAAAAGCTGCATGTAAACCCCTTTCTTCAGTGTGTTCACATTTGCTTTCTTCGGGGTACCTCTTTCATTTGTTCTTGCAGCTCCCCCTTTACCGTGCCTCTCATGCACAAGGCTCGCCACGTCAATTGTGGTTGAGTGCAAGCTGCCCTCATCCCCGTGTGCCATAACGGCCCACTTGCACACTATGAAAGGAGGCAGAGCAAAGACGGAGGTATATTCCTGTTCATTTCTTCTCAGATCTTCAACTTATATTTTGTCAGTGCTCGTAATGACGCTCATTCGTATGTATTAGTAGTATTACTACCTTCTTCCCCCGAATACACCGCACAGTCATTATAGCTGTATTTAGACTGAAAGATACCCCAAATACAGCTATAATGCCCATACGTTGTGTTCGGGGGAAGAAGGTAGTATTGCTGCACAAGAGGAGGGAGGAAGGAAATGGTAGGTGGAGATCTGAAAGGGCTCTAAGGAGTGACCGCTGGGGCTGACCACCCTCGAATGGCACATGAGGCCAGTCAGTGCGTTGGTTGCATAAGATTTGAGGAGCAGTTATTGCTTACAATGGTAAGTGGCCACCCTTACAGACCCGACAGGACCGGGTTGGGTGTCGACTATGGAAGCACCGCGTCCAATTTTCGCGGTCACAGTTCCCGCATCGAATGGCACGGTGTAGACCGGTGTCACAGGCTGCATGGCTCCTACATGCTAGGAACACAGAGGCACGTCGACCGCACTTGTAGAGGCATATTGTCGTTCCGGCCCCTGTCTAGAAATTAGAGATGACATGTCAGGGTGTCGTACATGAGTACAGTACTGACTGTCATCGTACGTATGGAAGCAAAAACTCGCATGGACTATCCGGTCATAATCCTCACAGCATAAGGCATGCAAACCTCATGATAGCTGGATCTACTGTGGGTCATCATAAAGCGGCATGGAGCAAGTTTCTTGGGTTTCTGCAGTATTTATTCCTTCTCTATGGGTAGACATACTAGACAACGATGGGGGAGATTGATCCAAAGCAAGGGCGTTCAGCTGCTGCAGGATTTGGTTTGCAATAGCTCGCCCTGGTGGAGACAACCTATCAGCACAGCGCTCTGTAGGTGGTTCATAGGTAATCTATTTTCCTCCTCAGGCTGCTGTGCCCTTCGTTCGTCAGGCAAGGTAGTAGGAGTTCCCACTGCGGTTGCAGGAGGTGTATGACCAACGCCGCATGTGTGACATGCTAGGAGAGGATGTGGCGGATGATGGCACCGCGTATAGTCCACGCAGCAGAGACACATACTTTCTATGAAAGCTTCCTGGAAACATTGGTGGCACATGGCATGTTGCTGACATGTCATTAGCAAAAAAAGGCTGACGTGCACAATTATTCAAGCATGGCAGATCAAGGCCACAACGGCAAGCTGGGGGGGTGAGTACAAGACAAAGGAGTGCAGTTTTCATGGCAGAGGCTGGCAGCATGTGTGTGTGTGTGTGTGTGTGTGTGTGTGTGTGTGTGTGTGTGTGTGTGTGTG